TTATATATAGGAAGAGGGTAAAGTAAACAAGGAAATTTCTATTCCTACTAAAATAAGAATTAAACAAACTAGGAAATATACTAAATACTAAACCTAATCCAACTAGGAAAGATACTAAACCTAATCCCAAAGGGATTCAGTTTCTTTCTTCAATCCCGCTTCCTTCTTCTGTCTCTAACACTTTGCTTCTTCCATCTTCTATCTCTAACAGTATATGTGTGTGTATATTAGTGTGTGTGTGTGTGTGTCTATATATATATATATATATATATATATATATATATATATATATATATATATATATATATATATATATATATATATATATATATATATATATAGGGCCCGGTTCCTGTGAGAATGCACCTTGTGGAGAGAAATGAGAATAAAATCTAATCGTTGGATCTGATGCATCGTGCGGCTTAGATTGAATCCTGTGCTCAGATTTTGAGATAGTGCATTTTCAAAGGATTTTGATGCATTTCGACGTGATGCATTTTTAAACCATTTTGGTGCATTTGGTTTTGATGAAATCTTGACCCTTAGATCTCATAATCTACCGCACCAGATTCATTCTCATTTCTCTCCTAAGATCGCATTCTCACCAGAACTAATATATATATATATAAAATAAAGCTTTATTTATTGATAATCACGGGAGTTGATACATCCAGTTTAATACAGCCTCTAACCACTCTAGGCAAACAACAAAAATGTAGAGTTTCAACAAAGTGGGAATACATAATAGCAAATCTAGCGAGATGGTGTGACGCTTGATTGAAATCTCTTTGAACGTGCTTAACAATAAGATTCGTCTCCTGAACCAGATCCTTGAACTTTTTGAGAGTTGGGCTAATGCAAGCTCTGTCCGTGTATAATGCCTCAGTAATTGCTTTGCAATCGGTATGGAGAATGAGAGGAGTAGTAACCTTGTTCTGAGCCCACTGGATTGCATTGATAATGTTTTCAAGCTCAGCTGCGAAGATGTCTGTAGAGTTCAGATTGGTTGTAATGCTAGCCATGAAAGTACCTTTGCCATTCCTAAGGATCGCTCCCCTAGCTGCTTTACCATTCATAATTGAGGCGTCAACATGGAGATATGTGATATTGACATCCCAGAAAGGCAAAGAGCATTC